ATAGATGGTGTTATTTTTAACAGCAAATTAGGATAACGTTAAATATTTTCATAAATCGATGAAAAGGGTGAATGGGTGAGACAGGCAGTATTCGTAATTGGCTCATTGGATACTTAGTACAAGTGTAGCCATCTATGTGTTAAAACAATCGAACAAGTCGACTCACAGTGGGCATGGCATGTGTGTACATGCCATCCCCGGCGGCAATGGGTTAATATGTTTATTAAATGATTCAAAGGAATGTAGTATATACTTTGAGTTGCTTCATACTACAGTAAATCTTTTTGGTGTAATATTTGCTTTTGCTTTAGTAGTATATGTAGCTCTGCTTTCCTAATATGCGGTGATATCATTACAGTCTTATTTGCTATTTTCTTGTAAAGGCTTCTAGATGCCTTGATCTATCAAAATAATTGTAACAAAATATCTAATGGCATTGTAGATTTCTCTGCTGGTAGAAGATTTGATGATGATATAGTGTGTTCAAACTCTTATGAGAGACTGATGTGTGAAAATACATAAATTAATGCATTATATGTCTGATAAAGATAGGAAGATTTAAGATTTTGAGAAATGTTTAGAAATGCATATAGAAAACATGATATATTGGTATAGAACTGACTGAGTTATCAGGCCTGAGGTCTAAACTACACTCCTTACCTGAGTTTATCTAGTATCACATTCAAGATGTTTAAGACCAGATTGGTCTTGGATGGTAGTCTTAGTTCAAAAGAATATGTAAAGTTATTGTGACAATGTCCCATAGTGAACCAGCAACTAAAGATGTTAAAATAGCTGGAACAACAAATATATTTTCTGTGTCGATTTTTTTTTTATAGAAATTCATGTTTTTAATGTTCTGAAAACTCATATCCCTACATGCTCATTGAAAATACACAATCAGATTTACAATAGTAAATATCTACTCTGCTTCATGCTGTGTTTGGTAAGTTTTAAGTATAAGTCAGTTAATAATGGGAGCTTTTTTTCATTTTTTATGGCTTTTTTAGTCAGTATACTGCTATGAATTTTTTTTGTGCTGAAATACAGAAGGTTAATGCTATCAAAAAAATATTTGCTACCTATTTGATGAATTTCTCCAAGATTCCTAGTAAATTGTAGTCATATTTATGTAATATCAAAAAACAGCACATTATAGAGGTACAAATACTGTTTTTTTTATGGAGAAACATACTGCTTACAGAAAGGCCAAAGAGGAAGACAAGTTTTCCTTATCAGGTCTGTAAATACTGTATTCTTGCTTTCCCTGTCCCCTTTGTACAGCTTGCCTCTGTAGATATTCCTGTGGTAGAAGTGTGGGGGAAAGCTGCAATAGGATCCTACTTATGGCAACATATCCTGGAAGGAGAAGAAAGTTTAGATGAAACAATGCCTGGTGCTACTGTTGGGGAGTTGAGAATGCCTGCGTTTGTACTCAGATATAGATCAGGTAAAATACTTCATTTTAAAAACGTAACCTCTTTCCTATGATTTGTATCACCAGTGTTATTATTATTTTTTAAAATAATTTTTAGATCCTGTGTGTGTTATTCAAATTAGTATGATTGATATATCACTTTCTGCTCTTTAGAATATTAGGTATTAGTGGATGTATTTATATATATTGTTGTTCATGGATTTTTTTTTAGAACATATATTGTATTCCTTGATGAACCCTTTTTATTTATGTCAACTCTTCCCACAAGGTCCTGGTGTCATCCCAGAAACTGTACCACGTGATGTAAAATACCTCGTTCTGGTTGTAAATGGTCGAACTCCAGAGAAGATAAAGGATGCAAAACAGTGGCTTAACGATTTGAAGACGTGGGACATGCCTCCTGAAATTATGTTAATTATGCTGGGAAATGAGGTAAAGTATTACAGATAAGAAAGGAAATAGGAGAGAGGGTGGGAGAGAAGAACAATGAATATGGTAGAAATTAGAGAGAGTGAGTGAGTGAGTGAGTGAGTGAGTGAGTGAGTGAAAAAGAGATAATCGGGAAAGGAGGAAAAGAGCAAGTACAATTGCAGATTAACTATATAACAAAGACTGGCTTTGGTAAAGTCATATTAATTGAGTGGAGGATTTTGCATTCTCTGTATCTATCAGGGGACCTTAAATTATGAGATTTAAGTTTTTCTTATGCCATTTTATTCCCTCTCTCCCTGAACAGAAGTGTGATAATGAATGGGTGCTCAATTATGTGTCACCAAAGGGTCCAGTTGTAACTGTTCTGCTGACCTATGATGACCCAAGAGTAGATCAGAAGACTTTTTACCAGTGGCCTCTTGGTGTTGCAACGTAAGTATCTCTCTTGATGAACTTACTATCTTATGAATATCAGGACAGCTGTCAGAAATAATTGTTTTTGCATTATACAGATTAAAGTTTATGTAAATTGTTTTTGTAGAGAAATGAAATAAGATTTTGATAGATTCAGGTAAAGTAATGAAACTAATTCTTTACTTTAATTGTTAACCCATTTGCGCCGGGTAAAAATGAACCAAAAATGGGGAAAATGCTGTGCTCATTTTTTTATACTTTTTGTGAAAAGCCTCTACAATAGATGGTTCTGCCTTACCTGATTTTATTTGGTGGGAAAATGTATTTTTTACTAGTGCTATGAATATCAATGGTTATTTTTATTATAAACATTATAATTACTATAATCTTTTAAAATTAGTAACAGCAAAATAAGATAACGTAAAATATTTTCATAAATTAAAGAAAAGAGTAAATGGGCGAGACAGGCAGTACAAGTACAAGTGTAGCCATCTATGTGTAAAAACAACTAAACTAGTAAACTCACAGTGGGCATGTCACGTATACGTGACACCCGGTGCGAATGGGTTAAAAGGACATACATTTTATATTAACCTTTTGTGGATGATTTAATTTTTAAAAAGGTATATATAGGAATTTACAATCATGCTTTCCAGATACAGACAGTTTCCTGTCATAGAAGAAGAACAGGTATCTCCAGAGGCTCCTAGAAAGTATGTGTGTAACCTGAGGGTAACGCTTCATCCTAACTCCTCTAGAATAGCCCTTCATAAGTTCCTGAAAAATGATGCCTATGCTTCCAACAACTGTTTCGTATCAGTCAGAGAAAAGTAGGTTGACACTGAATCTGTGTGTTATTATGCAATAGTGGCCATGCAACAAAATTCACAAAGTGGACAGTACATAATCCTGTAGGCAGTGGGTTAAAAAACTGTTGAGTATTCTTTTCTTTTTTTTATAAAGTAACTACCATGTTATTATAAAGGATAAGACTTGTTCAGAATTTCCTGAGGTTTTCATAATTTTTTTTTATAGGCAGGTCAAATTGCAGATTGTTTGTTTTTTCAAGAATTGTTTGACATACCAGCATTAGATATATATTTTCAGATCTAAATTCTAGCTCTTCAAGCATGAAGGACCAAATTTACTTATAGTAGAGCTTAAAGATTTAGGGTTTAGGCTGAGCAGCTGTGGCCTTTGTGGGTTAAAGGAGTTTCTATGGCCTATTTAATCATGGGAGTTTTGTGGCATAATGAATTTGTGTGGTGTAAAAGACTGTCTGTTTATATGATTTCTAACTTTTCAGATGGCTGCCAAATGAAACACCTGAATCAATGAATGAGTATGTTTGGTCCCTGTTGCAGTCGGATCTGACACTTTCTCCTGCTGGGATGAACACAGAAACATATAGGTATTTTTTTAATGGATGATAATGAAATGCAGCACAGCAAATATGCATAAAATACAGCAGAGTTAGTGAGTATTTAGGACGAGTTCATGATTTCCAGACAAACATACGCTTTCATATTTGCTTTATGACTGAAAAATTAATAATGACAATTTTTTTTTAACTTTCCATAGAGTATATGAGGCAATGTCAGCTGGAAGTACACCTGTAATAGAAGATGTAGCAACCCCAGGTCATTGTGACACATCCCCATGGAGGTTGTTAAAGAAACATGGACCTCCAGCAATCTTCGTCAAGTCATGGGAGCAGTTACCTAAAATTCTCGCTAAGGAACGCAGGTTAGTTAGCTCCCCTGAAAACCAGGTTTTTAATTTTTGATCTGAAGGGCAGCAGCTGTTGTTTACATTTTATCCTAGTATTTCATATTATGATCCAGATACTTCTCTCATCTCCTACTGTTTTTCTTTGACTTTCTTTCTGTTGCCAGTCCTCTTCCTCTTCCCTTCTCAATGTCTTGGACAATTCTTTTGGTCACATTCAGTCTATAGAGGAATGCTTCATTTACAGATTCAGCAAGCAGTACAAGGCTCTCCGTAGATTACGTGTGTTCCAGTGGTATGAGTGGTTCAAGCTTAAAATGAGGGACAGGTTCATCTCCATTATATCATCTAATCTAATACACAGCTGAAGGAACAACAAACTTTTGGTTCTTACCTTGGATTCTCTCTCTCTACTTTCTGTTAATTGGTAGAGAGATTTTAAACTAGTCTGTAAATGCTTTTATGTGACATTGAAGTCTTTTAATAGTTTCTTGTGTCAAGAAACTGCAGTAATGAATTATGTTAAAAATAATAGTGTGTGTTGGGGAAATTTAAGAATGCAGGTACTGCTGGTGCCATACAGGTTATGTTCAAAGTAATTATGCTGTATCTCTTTCTTTTTGCATTGTCACCTTTATTTGGCAAAGTAACTTGGCCTAGGCACTGGACATACTACAGGCACATGTACACACAGACATATGCACATACAGTCATATATGCACAGACATTCACACATAGACATACAAATTTAGACATAACATACACATGTGAGATGTAGACATGACATACAGACATGTCATCTGTACAGTTGGTAGTTATGATATGCAGACATGACACACAACATGACAGGCGGGCATAACACATACACAGGCAAACAGATTCACATAGGCACAGACACAGTCAGTCAGTCAGTCAATCAGTCACACACAGATACACACACTCATACTCACACTCATACTCACACTCACACTCAGACTCATACTCACACTCATACTCATACTCACACTCACTCTCACACTCACACTTACACTTACACTCACTCTCATACTCACACTCATACTCATACTCACACTCATACTCATACTCACACTCACTCTCACACTCACACTTACACTTACACTTACACTTACACTTACACTTACACTTACACTTACACTTACACTTACACTTACACTTACACTTACACTTACACTTACACTTACACTTACACTTACACTTACACTTACACTTACACTTACACTTACACTTACACTTACACTTACACTTACACTTACACTTACACTTACACTTACACTTACACTTACACTTACACTTACACTTACACTTACACTTACACTTACACTTACACTTACACTTACACTTACACTTACACTTACACTTACACTTACACTTACACTTACACTTACACTTACACTTACACTTACACTTACACTTACACTTACACTTACACTTACACTTACATTTACACTTACACTTACACTTACACTTACACTTACACTTACACTTACACTTACACTTACACTTACACTTACACTTACACTTACACTTACACTTACACTTACACTTACACTTACACTTACACTCACACTCACACTCACACTTACACTTACACTTACACTTACACTTACACTTACACTTACACTTACACTTACACTTACACTTACACTTACACTTACACTTACACTTACACTTACACTTACATTTACACTTACACTTACACTTACACTTACACTTACACTTACACTCACTCTCACACTCACACTCATACTCATACTCACACTCACACTCATACTCACACTCATACTCACACTCATACTCACACTCATACTCACACTTTCATTGCAGTTCATGTATCCAGTCAGTGGCCTGCTAGTTGGTAAAAATAAGAGTAAGTGACAAAATACAACAAATTTCATACATCCCAATTAATGTGCCTGCTGGACACATTTTAAGAGTTCAGCATAAATACCTAACAGCTTATGAGTAGCTTTAAATTGTAGGAAACCTGTAATGTAACATGGAATTTGTGCTATTTGCACCGCCAGATTCACAGCAGAATCATGAAGGGCTTCGTTTACTTGAAACTTTTGAGGCATTGATTCGCTATGAGTTACAACTATAAAAAGGAAAAACAACAGGATTTCTATGATGTTATTGCTGTTTCAACATCTTTTTATTGGTGAAGTAACCACTGACACACTAACTATCTTGAGTGTGAAATATTTCAAATATATTCCTTTGTTGTGTATATGTAATGTCCCCAAAACTTCTAAGCAATACTGGTGTGTGGAAGCCCCATTCAAAAAAAAAAAAGAAAACAACAGGGAATTTCTATGATGTTATTGCTGTTTCAACATCTTTTTATTGGTGAAGTAACCACTGACACACTAACTATCTTGAGTGTGAAATATTTCAAATATATTCCTTTGTTGTGTATATGTAATGTCCCCAAAACTTCTAAGCAATACTGGTGTGTGGAAGCCCCATTCAAAAAAAAAAAAGAAAACAACAGGGAATTTCTATGATGTTATTGCTGTTTCAACATCTTTTTATTGGTGAAGTAACCACTGACACACTAACTATCTTGAGTGTGAAATATTTCAAATATATTCCTTTGTTGTGTATATGTAATGTCCCCAAAACTTCTAAGCAATACTGGTGTGTGGAAGCCCCATTCAAAAAAAAAAAAGAAAACAACAGGGAATTTCTATGATGTTATTGCTGTTTCAACATCTTTTTATTGGTGAAGTAACCACTGACACACTAACTATCTTGAGTGTGAAATATTTCAAATATATTCCTTTGTTGTGTATATGTAATGTCCCCAAAACTTCTAAGCAATACTGGTGTGTGGAAGCCCCATTCAAAAAAAAAAAAGAAAACAACAGGGAATTTCTATGATGTTATTGCTGTTTCAACATCTTTTTATTGGTGAAGTAACCACTGACACACTAACTATCTTGAGTGTGAAATATTTCAAATATATTCCTTTGTTGTGTATATGTAATGTCCCCAAAACTTCTAAGCAATACTGGTGTGTGGAAGCCCCATTCAAAAAAAAAAAAGAAAACAACAGGGAATTTCTATGATGTTATTGCTGTTTCAACATCTTTTTATTGGTGAAGTAACCACTGACACACTAACTATCTTGAGTGTGAAATATTTCAAATATATTCCTTTGTTGTGTATATGTAATGTCCCCAAAACTTCTAAGCAAATAACTGGTGTGTGGAAGCCCCATTCAAAAAAAAAAAAGAAAAACGACAGGATTTCTATGATGTTATTGCTGTTTCAACATCTTTTTATTGGTGAAGTAACCACTGACACACTAACTATCTTGAGTGTGAAATATTTCAAATATATTCCTTTGTTGTGTATATGTAATGTCCCCAAAACTTCTAAGCAATAACTGGTGTGTGGAAGCCATTCATATTTAAGAATTTGCTAATTAGCAATTCAACTCAAAGGAGTAATAAGATTTCCAGTCACATATAAATGTGATGCAAAGAGGGAAAGTTAATTGTTGGGGTAGCAATAAGTGGTGAGCTACATGTCTCTCCAGGACCTGTGAAAAAGTGATCTAGGATGAGGAAGAGTTTATACAGCATCCCAGTGGATTGTTGTAGCAAATATAAAGTTAATGTTTATATTGTCCAAATAAGTTAATTAATTTGGGAAGTGTGAGGTTATTTATAATGAAAGCAGTATAAATTTAATTAAGCAGTTATAGATATTTACAATTATATACACATTGATTCAGGCATTTGACTCACATAATTTTTATATCAAGGAGGAATTTGTTACTGAGCAAAAAGTCTATATTGAGCTTTTAATTATAATAGGGGTCTAGTGTTATATACAATAATTAAAAATGGTTGAAATATAGACCTCAGAAGCCTAGAAGAAAAAAAAGTCTCTCGGTGTGAGTCTTCTTTTATAAATAGTATAGATGTTTGAGCAAATAACCAGGACTGTACACACCATGTCATAGTAAAAGGCAATCTGTGCATGACTATGAAGACTATTGGGAGTAAGAATTGGAAAGATGGTTAAGATAGTGTCAGATCAGCTGTAGGTGTACTTTAAGTGTGAAAATAGGGTTTGCAAAATTATTACTGAATCACATTAACCCAATGCCGCCGGGTGGTTTCCCGATGCAAAAGCCCTCTCCCCTGCTGCCAGGGGATCGTGTTGACACCATAGTGTGTGTGGCATGACTGCCACTGGAAAATGGGACTGGTGCACCATGGCACATATTCACATGCCACCCGGAATATAGTCCAGGTATGCCATGGCATTGTATGTACATGCCACCAGGTGGCAAAGGGTTAAACTTTATGCTTGCTTTGTGCACATGTAGAAAGTAGATGAAAGTTAAAAACACTGTTTCTGTTTTTTCTATAACCAAAGAATGACAGTTTTTTATACCTCAGTTTTAAAATACTCTATGGTATATAATACATAATGTTCAAAAGCTTACAATGAGTTTGTTTATGATTAATTCACAATATGTTGACAGACTTCTGTATTAGTTTAGTAATATATTTTTTTATTAATGCATCCTATATATATGTTGCTGTGATTAATGCTGTGATATTAAAGTAGATTTAGTGCTTGCATGATCCTTTTTCACTGATTATTGCCCATGAGCACAAGATGCCACACAAAGAATTTGTATTGATATCTATGCATTTTTTTTTTTTTTTTCAAGTAAAGGTAATTCATGTTTTGTGTTAAATTATGGAAAAATTTCACTAGATATTTTTTCAGACAGTTCAGCTGTTTGAAATAGATGATATGGAGAATTGGAGAGACCTATCATCAAATAGCAGTAAGCTAACAATTATCAGTAACCAAAAAAATCATGTCAAATAACAAATAAACAAACAGGTAATTAGTCATATAAAAAAAATTCTTTTAGCTCCCAAAAATGAGTTTTTAAATCCTGCTGTCAATTATAGATCTAGATGATCTTAATACAAGGCCATTATGAAGAACAAAAAAGTAGAACAAAATGTCAATTAGTATAGAGGTGTCCTGTGGCTTCAAATATTTCCGACATGTGGTGTGGGACAGGCTGCAGGAATGGGCCAGATCCAAAATAGGTAGGCCTTCTTTGACATGGCAATTCATCTAGGAAGCAATCTCAAACTCATCAGATATTCCTGATGGAGTAAATGGAACATAGAAGTGAGCTAGGGAGGCATGCCATGATCTCATTGACTTCATGACCAATTGCAGGTCTAGAGAATGATGATGCACTATAGTACATTTAATTTAATGTGAGAAAAAGATAATGGTTGTTTGCTTTTAAAATTCCCCACAAATGAAAGATCTTCAATTAATTCAAAAATAAATACTAGCTGACTTTTTATGAAAACAATCTTAGTTAACCTAATGTGTATTATGAGTCCACCTTATACAGTTCTTTGCATTGCTTTAAGATTAACTCCTCTTGGATAAGTTAAGAAAACATGTTTGCTTAATATTAATGGTAATGAAGAAGACAGACCAAAAGTGTATGAATGACTTTAGCTGTTAGCGATGTATAAACTTAATTGGCACTAGGAGGCTCCTCTTATATCTCGCACCAAAGGTATAGACATCTTGTATTTGCCCACAGGTAAGATAATGTAAGAAAGATGAAAAAAGAAAAGAAAAGAAAAAATCTAACCCGCATTTATGCTACATTCCATAAATGTCTACATTAATACATCCAGAATATCACTTGTATCCTTGTTGTTTTGCAAGTAAGTGAGGTACTGGGGTAATTGAGAAATCTGAGCAAGCATGAGAGGCGGATGGGCACAGGTCTTTCATGCTACCTGATTTCATGTAACAAATTAACTTCAACCTAACTCATCTAATGCCAGTCAGTATTGGAGTACCATATAATGACTTCTGGGAATGTATTTCATGCATAGACATGTGAAAAACAAATAAAAGATTGTAGTACCCATCCAAGAGGAGTTGATGAATAATAGAGTA